CCACTGGTTTGACACTATTGTCTGGCTAGGATGTTGCTGGGGCTGCCAATTTGGCATGGCTATCTCAGTGTCTGCTCAGTTGGCCACTACTGCCTTGGGTGTGTGGTCACCTTGGGTCTTGGGCCTCTCTGGTCAGCATGCACTCGGCCGGGTTGGGGATGGAGTCGGGCAGTGGCAGCAAGGCCCACCTGCTGGGTCACGCACTGGCACCACAGGGCACATGGTCTCTGTGGATCTTCTGCCTCTCTGGCTGGACGACTCCCTGCTCCATGCTCACTCAGCTGGGCAGGGGATAGAGTCAGGTGGCAGTGGCAAGGCCTACCTGCTGGGTCACATGCTGGCACCACAGGGTGTGTGGTCTCTGTGGAGCTTCTGCCTCCCCTGCTAGACATCTCCCTGCTCTGTGCACACTTGGCCAGGCCAGGGATGGAGTCAGGTGGTGGTGGTGAGGCCTACCTGCTGGGTTGTGTGCCGGCACCACAGGGCCACCCAGCCCTTTCCATTTTCAATTCTTTTTCTTTTGGTGCTTCAGTTTGGGTATTTTCTATTGTCATGACTTCCAGTTAGCTAATCCTTTTTTCTGTTATGTCTAATTTGCTGCTAAATTTATCTAATAAGTCATCAATCTCGGATATTGAAATTTTCAGTTCTAGAACTATTTCATTTGAATCTTTTTACATATCCTAATTCTTTAATAAATTTATTCATTTTTATATATTCTCTATCTTTTCTTTTATGTGTTTGAACATATCAATTATAGCAATTTTAAAGTCCTTGTCTGACAACTCTAGTATTTAAATCATTTGTGGGCCTCTTTCTAGTGCCTATTTTTTCTTTTGGTATCTTGTCATGTGATTTTTCCTAGGTATGTTTAATAATGTATGACTGAATTATTAACACAGTAATACAACTGATGCTGGTTGTATTACTCTGTTTCTGTTGCTTATAACAAAATACCTGAAACTAGGTAATTTATAAAGAAATGAAATGCATTTCTTACAGTTTGGAGGCTGGGAAGTCCAAGGTCCAGGAAACACATCAGGTGGGGGCCTTCTTGGTGGTGGCTCTCTGCAGCAACACAGGATAGCTTATGATGATAATCATAAGAGCAAGAGAGATAACCTTGCTTGCTCTCTTTTTAAAGCCATAAGAACCATG